TGGAATACATCCTGCTAAATTATTCAAGGGAAGTTGAAATGTTTTAAAAAGGTCAGACTGACTTAAACAGTGTGTCCACCTCTATGCCTGAAGCACAGGCTTTGTTAAAGACCTTTAAATTGAATCGGTCTTGCGTCCCTGTGAGGCTTGCATGTTTAAAAACCCTTTTTTTTGTCAGACTGCATTTAAAAAATATATATATATTAAATACAATTCTGTGAGGTTTTAACAAAGTTTAAAGATGTATTATGAGTTTATTAAAAAAGACAATTAATACAGGATGAGTTGCTCCACGGTCAGAGGTCAGGCTGTTCAGTGCTCCTCACTTTTTAAATGATTACAGTTCCTGCTGTGGAGAAACTAATCCCTCCAAATGGGGCTTAATTATTACTGAAGCCATTTGTTGGGTTTAATGTTTAATCCTGCGACTGTTCAGAGCTGCTGCTCCTCTTCCTCCATTTTCATTCAGAGGGAGGTCTTCTGACGGGATTCACTACCTGTGTTACAACTTACAGCCATTCAGATCTGTAGTTATGGAACTGTTACAAGGTGTGTATTTTGTATTTTGTAAATTGTGTAACCTGCTGCTGTTCAATACCAACCACCTACGTGCAATATGTGCAATATATATAGATGCCGTTAATAACTCTGTAATATATACCTGGCTGCTAAATCCTAAGAACTGTTACAGGATGTGTATTTTTTTAAATTATGTAACTTTTTTTTATTTATTATTATATATATTTTTTTATTATGTCATAACTTAGTACTTTAAAAAAAAATGCATGTCACATATGTAACATTAAGCTGTCTGTGGCTCTTTTTACTGCTGTAACTATGCACATTACCCCTCCGTGGGACTAATAAAAGTATTCTGATTCCGATATATTTAAAATTAATCAATATGGCTGCTTTGACTTGATTGAAAGGTCATTTTATATGTTGAGTGTCTGATCCTTAAGAAATTATTTTAACAACTATTTTCGTGCAGTTTGACGCAGATACTGCCCAATCCCTAGATAACGATATTTCCTATTAAACCACCCTAAATACATTTAAAATGTCTTTCTACCAAGACCTTGAATGCAACAAGGATCAATACTATTGAACGAATTCAGATGCATCCTGATTGGATGTAAAAAAACTAATTTTTTTAATTTGTAACTATTTGCTACACGGCATTTGGTTTGTTACGCCAAGTGAACCAAACAGATGTAGTTGAAGCAGCTCTATGTGCTCGCTCTTTGCACTCGATGAACATCAATGGTTTATAGAGTGAGCTCCTTTAGGACCGGCTGTGGGACAGTTGTTGTTGTTGTTGTTGTTGTTTAGAATTAGGGCTGTAATGGCAAG